ATATAATATAATATAATATAATATAATATAATATAATATAATATAATGTAATATAATATAATATGATATAATATAATATAATATGATATATAATAATATAATGTCATTTAAAGCGATACATAATATTTATGTAGTATAAAATAATATAATATGATATAATGTAATATAAAATAATATAGTATAAAACAATGTTATCTAAAATAATATATTATATATTATATTTAAAAAAATATTATAATATATAATATGATATGATCTAAAATTATATAATATAATACAAAATAATATATTAACATGATAATATATAGTTCTATATGAATTTGTTTACTAATAAGAAACTAATTAGTTTTTTTTTTTTTTGATGTCTTTTATGTATTTAAAGTAGTAAATAAAGTTCTGTTCCTAACTTTGAGTTCCCCTGGTGATCAGAACCAAAAATATGAGCTTCCTCACAAAAGTTTTAGACTTATCGCATCTCTGGGACTTTATAGTTTATCTTAATGTAACTACAGGCTGCAAATGTTCACCACAATCCATCTAAAAGGAGCTGTTACCGACCAAAAAGCAGCATTCTGATCTTCCTCATCTCCCTCCTCTTCCTCCTCTTTCTCCTCTTCTGGCGGCCGCCAGCAGGCGGTGCTCTGCTGCTGCTCACAGGAAGCCCACAGGAGGAAGAGGAGAGGGGTTTATTTACTGGGAGGAGGAGGAGGAGGAGGAGGAGGAGGAGGAGGAGGAGGAGGAGGAGGAGGAGCAAGAGGAGGGGAAGGAGGAGGAAGAAGAGGAGGAGGAGGAGGGGGAGGAGGCGAAGGGTGAGGAAGAGGAGGAGGAGGAAGAGGGGAAGGAGGAGCAAGAGGAGGAGGAGGCGAAGGGTGAGGAAGAGGAGGAGGAGGAGGAGGGGAAGGAGGAGGAGCAAGAGGAGGGGAAGGAGGAGGAAGAGGAGGAGGAGGAGGAAGAATAGGGGAAAGAGGAAGAGGAGGAGGAGGGGAAGGAGGAGGAGGAGGAAGAGGAGGAGAAGGAGGAAGAGGAGGAGGAAGAGGGGAAGGAGGAGGAGGAGGAAGAGGAGGAGGAGGAGGAGGAAGAGGAGGAGGAGGAAGAGGAGGAGGAGGGAGGTGAGAGTGTCCCTGGTTCTGATGTGCATCCTCCTCTTCCTCCTCTTCCTCCTCCTCCTCCTTCCCCTCTTCCTCCTCCTCCTCTTCCTCCTCTTCCTCCTTATTCTCCTCCTCTTCCTCCCCTTCCTCCTTCCTCTGTCCAGATGTTATCCTTTGGTCCCTCACATCCAGGTGTTTACAGATCTGACCGAAGGAGTCTCTGTCTGGGTTCATTCTCTGGGTGTTTTTGGGGAAAATCGAGTAAAGATTTTCAGACGTTCTGGATTGGAAAGGCCATTTCTGCCCCTTAATCTGTGATTTCTGAGTTAATCTGAAGAACAAGCAGCTTTTATAGATGCACCGGTGTTATGAGTGTTTGTGTTTCAGTGTCCTAGGAGGAGAGGAGATGAGTTCATGTGTAAATAATCCAGTTCCTTTATCTGAAATTAAGATGGAAATGTGCTGATTTTATCACCTTTCTGTGTTTGACTGGACCAAAATCAAGCTCCAGATACCTGTGATGGTTTAAATCTGGCTGCTTTCAGATGGTTTCTTTCTTTCTTTCTTTCTTTCTTTCTTTCTTTCTTTCTTTCTTTCTTTCTTTCTTTCTTTCTTTCGTTCGTTCGTTCATTCTTTCTTTCTACCTTTCTTTCTTTCTTTCTTTCTGTCTTTCTTTCTGTCTTTCTTATTTCTTTCTTTCTTTCTTTTTCCTTTCTGTCTTTCTTTCTTTCTTTCTGTCTTTCTGTCTGCCTGTCTGTCTTTCTTTCTTTCTTTCTTTCTGTCTATCTGTCTTTCTTTCTGTCTTTCTTCCTTTCTGTCTTTCCTTTT